CCCCACGTCCCGGTGCCGCGGCCCCCCCCGCCCCCGCCCAGCTTGTGTGAGGCGCTGGTCGCTCTGGCGGGTCCCGTGGCCTGCTGGCCCCCCGCGCCCCGAGCAGCCCTCAGAGCGGCTCTCCTGAGGGTGAGGTGCATCGGGGGGCTGACGGGCGGGAGGAGGAGGGGGAGGCCGCGGGAGGGGGGGAAGCTGGTGCGGGCTATGGACCCGTGGGCGGTACCACCGGCAGCAGCAGCGGCAGAGGCTACTGCTGCTGTTGCTACTGCGATTGCTTTAGCAGGGGCAAAAAAGGCGGCACCCGCACGGAGCCGACCGCGAGGAAAGGTACCCGGGCCTCATCGTGGCGCGGTTGGCGATGGTGGTGGCGATGGGAATGGCGGCGTGTGCAGTAGCAATAGGCATAGCAGCGGCAGTGGCGGCAGCAGCAGAGGAGTCAGAGGCGGGGGTCACGGCCTCAGGCCCCCTGGGGCGGGGGTACCTGCTGGGCAGCTGGGCGCCCTGCCTGCGGTGGCGAGAGCGCTGGGGCTGGGGCCGGAGCTGGGGCTGGGGCCGGGGGCGGGGCTGGGGCTGGGGCCGGAGCTGGGGCTGGGGGATAAGGGGATTTAGGAAGGGGGTCTCCGCAGGTCATCTCAGACTTGTGCGCGTTTGCGTGTGCATGTGTGCGTGTGCGTGTTTTGGAGCGAGGGGGGAGAACGAACCCTAAGGAAGGAAGAAGGGATCAGTAGTGGTGACCCCAACTTGTGGGGCGGTTTCCGAGGAGGATTTCTTTTCGCGCTGAGGTGCCGGAATGTAGGGCGGCTCACGGCCCCTTGCATATAGGGCCCGCCTGCAAGTTGGTTTTGTCTGGTTTGGGTGGTAGCGGTAGCGGTATTGGTAGTTATAGTGGTAGTGGGTGGATGGGCAAATGTAAGGCAGTGGGAAGAAGGCCGTTTGAGTTACAAGTTACAAGTCCCGCACGAATGCAGTGGGGGGTGTTCGTCAAAGCCACCCGGGGTCCATGGACTACTTTTGAGGCACTGTCTTAGTTGAGTGGCCAGGTGGTGGGTAGAGACTTTGACATGGAGAGAGTCCCAGTTGTTGTCAGGAGGAGAGACCGCAGCTCTTCAATTGCTTTAGGCATACTGTCGCCTGGTATGTTTTGCTAGGGCTGCGCTTAGCAAGGTAAAGAGGAAGAAAAGGCTCTAGTTGAGAGCGCGCGCGAGGGAGGGAGAGAGAGGGAAGGGGAGGCACGGAAGACGCTATTATGGTGTAGAGTAGAATCGAGTTTAGGAACGCAGTCGTGTAGTATGCACACACAAAGGACTTTGCAGTGGCTCCTTTCAGGCGGCATCGGAGGACAGGTTAGGCGTTGCTGTTGGGGGTGGGGGTCATGGCGGTGGTGCTAGTTGTAGACCCTGGCTCCGCATGTACTCCGACAATCCCCTCTCTCATGTCGTCCGAGGATCTTTCCTTTTCCATATTATCCTGTAATGGCTTGCGTCCCCGCGGTATGCAACAAGCCGCACCAGCAATGGCGCATACCAAACATTAATTCTACAGGTAGACCGGTTGGGGCTTGGGCCGCAGCCAGTTTCAAGCTTTATTGCACTTGTAAAAATGTGTAAAATGTATAGCAGGATAGGGCTGTGGAGGCTCTGCAATAGGTAGGGCCCCGGCACCGACAGCTCACTCAGTCAGACACTACCATACGTTCAACAAAGCCTATACTCGGTAGAAATAGTGATAAAAAAATGATGGCTGGGGACAAATATTTTGCAGCTAGTCGGTGCACTTTCTTTGGTTGGTGGGGTGGAAGGCCGTACTGGACCCCGTGCAAGGAGCTTGACCCAGATGACATTGAACGCATACAATTCATTTATAAGTATGTATGTGAGGAAGGCACTAGGACAACTTCCCCTTCAGCAGGAGCAGCAACGAAAATTTGTTGCGGCGAACGGGGAATCCGGTACTGCGTACGGCAATTTGTTTGTCCCAGTGTTGCCATCGTGTTTCTCTATGCTAAAAGTTCAAGGAACTACGCGGTAGACATCGGCCTGCCACACTGACGGCGTGTAGGGTCGCTGCACTTACCACATCCTTCCATCCCGCGGCCTAGGAAGTCGCAGGTTCCCGCCGCCTCAAATTCCCGTTACGCATGCTTTGTTGTGATTACTGGTTCCCCCAAAACGCATCTGCTTTTAATTGAGTACATTTAGGATCTGGCTGTCGGGCCGCCAAGGTCAAAGGCGGAAGGCTTGTTGGGGCTGATATAGTCCCATGCTAACTTTGCACCGGGGCTTTCATAACCAATAAGTCACGTGCATACCAAATAAGCCTTCGTTTAAGAGAGGACAGCCATAACTAGCACCTTCGACACACTTTCCTGGGTGGAAAGCCAACGTCTCCCTCAATCTGGCAACGATCATACCTGACACGAGTGGAGCGGCACGCTTGCAGCAATGCCGAAGCAAGCGGATATTCGGATGCAGATTCCGGGCTGCACGGCTGCGCGTTTCTGGGACGTCGTGTACGAGCGACCTGAGGCTACCGAGCGCTATCACACGAGGTATGCACGTGCTCAACGATCACCTAGCTGTAATTGTTTTTTGATCATCATGACTCCAATCTTCGGCTGTGCCGTGCTGCCTTGGGCGCTAGGGCTCACGTGCAATCGTTACCCGCCAGCTCAAAATTTTCTCAATCCTGGACTCATCCATAACAGAAACACCAAGGCAGCCATACTGATTCCTCCCTTTGTCTGGTTTCCTTGTTACGTGAAACAACCATTCGGTGGTGTGCTTTGCTGCCAACGAGGACAGCTTCAACGCGGTGAGGGGGGTTGACTTGGGGCTTACTAGTTTCAGAACCCTAAAAGCCTGAAACCCTAAAAGAGTTCTTCTCAAACGTTCCCCCTCTCCTTTCAGTCAAACGTACACGCTTATCGGTACACTCTCCGTCCCTCCCAGGTCCCTAGCCCTGCTTAAGAGGGATGGGGTGGGGTGAGGGTGGGCTCATAGCTAGGCTCATTTCCCTTGCAATGAGGCGTTCCCCCGTCTCCCACCCTTCTTTCCCTCTCTTCCCGCCTGTTCTGATATCCCTCCCCCACATGCCTCCGTGTGAAAACGGCGTTTGAAACACCAATTAAGCTCTCGCGCGTCCACCTTAACCCTCCACTGCCGTTCCTCCGCCTCCCCCTACCCGCCCCTGCTCCCCGCCTTTCCCCGCACTTTCTATACTTTTTCCTCTTCCTCTACACACGCCCCTCCCCACACACACCCCTCCCCCTCCGCAGTCCACCTCCACCAGTGTTGGCCCCTGGACTGCTGGCCAGCGCTCCGTCAATTTCACGATGCCATTGAAGCTCCCGGACTTTTTGAAGCGCATGGTACGGCACGGCGTGTGTCGGGTTATGTCGTACATGGACAGGCTGGGGTGGGGCGACACGGAGTGAGGCGGGGAGAAAGCGGGGGCTACAGTTGGGTAGCTGGGGCGGGACCTTGGTTGGGTTGTGGTGTGAGCTGTGTGGGATTCGCAACCTCCGCATTGGTCCCATGGGCGGTTCACTCTGCTTTCTGGGGTTACCTTTTTTACATCTTTGCCGTATCGCTGGGGGCGCACTCCATTCGCCGTACGGCGGGTGTTCTCATCTTACTTCGTTTGCCGTACTGCTTCTGCTGCTTAAACTACTGATCGCAGGTTGGTTTGGAAAGTGTTGCTGTGGCGGAGGTTCAGCGGGTGGTGTGGCAGGGCGGTCTGGGGTCATTCACCGTCAGCTCCGAAACCAACATCACCAACATGATGGGTGCGGAGGGGGGGAATAAAAGGGTTTGGAGTGAGGGGAGGGAAAGGATTGGGCTGCTGCTGTTGCTGTTCTGCTACACACAGACACATACACAGAGAGACACACGCGTGTCCCCTTGCCTTCCCCCCTCGGCCTCCCCGCCTCTTCCTCTGCAACCACCCCCCATTTCCCGCCGTTACCCCTCTTGCCTCTCCTCCACACCTCCACTTCCGTCCCATAACTCCTCCCCCCCTCCCAACAGCCGTGTGGCTGGCAGCCACATTCGAATTGTATTCCGTACCCCCTACCCTACTGCTCCTAACCGCATGCAAACGTATTACGTACATACGCACGTACATACAGGCGCGGGGCGCTTCACCACCGCATTACAACTCACCGTCACCGAGCAGCAACAACAGAACCACCCGGCTCCTGCCGCTACTGCTACTGCTACTGCCACCACTGCAACCCCCACCTCCTCCACCGCCCTCAACGGGCGCATCTCGCCCTTCATCACCGCCTCGTCTCTGGGACATGACACCGGAGGCGGCGGCGGCGGTGGTGGTGGTGGCGTTAGAGGGTGCGGTGGCGTAGGAGGTGTTGGTAGTAGTAGCAGTAGTAGTAAAGAGGCGGAGGTGGGGGAGGCGGAGGTGGATGTGTCCTGTTCCGCTGTGCAGCTGGTGTACAGCGTCCGGTGCGCCGCCGCCTCCATCCCCTGGCCGATGTCGGCCACCATTGAGAACGTCATGGCGGAGAAGGCGCTGGTGAGGGGGTAGAGGGGGAACTTGCTCGCGCCCTTGGCTGCGGCCTTTCGCCGCCCTTGTTGTTGTTTTTGTTGTTATCACTATTATTATTATGAGCTTTATTATCTTAATAATAAATATTTTTTAAAATACCTGTATTATAATAATATTATTATGTAAGTAATCTCTCCGTCGATTCTAAATCGTTGAGAACCGCACGGTGGGCCTAACCCCGGCAAAATTACCCCTGTTTATTTCTTCAGATCAACATCTTCATCTGCACAAATACATGTACATATATATCACGTATATATATCACGTATATCACATATATATATCTGCATCTCCCCACCCCTCCCCCGCTCCCTTTCTCTCTCAAGGTGTCCATGCAAAGCTTCCTTGACTACTGTGCACAGCTCCTGGAGGAGGAAGAACATCATCACCGGCGTCACCACCACAACAAACAACAACAAGAACAACAACAGTGCACGGTGGTGGGAGCTGCAGGTGCACCGGCGCTCGAAGGAGACACCGCCGCCACCACCACCGCCACGACCATAACTACAACCACCACGGGCGCGACGGCGTCGTCGCCGTCGCCGTCATCCGCCACCTCCAGGACGGCGACGACGACGAAGGCGAAGGCGACCGTGACGGCGGCGGCGGCGGCGGCGGCGCTGCTGGAGCCCCCCCCGGCGGCGCTGTCCTCCTCGGAGGGCAGCGGAGTGGCGGCCGCAGGTACGTGTCAAATGGAAAACCTCCCAGGGGCCCCCTGTGGCGGAGGGAAGGGGGCTGGCGGTTGTCGTGTGTCTGTATGTGTTATAATAGTAATAATAGTAATAATGTGTTTTGGTGAACTGTGCGGCGAGAGGGCGCAATGCTAGGTGTGGGTACATGCGCACACGGGGCAGCGGGCCCCAGGTGCGGAGAGGCGGTGTGTGTAGGTGCGTGTGGTGGAGAGCGGGAGAGCGGGAGAGGGACCGCTAACTTCCCCCCGGGGGGGAAGTGGTGAAGAGCACATCTATGAGCACTAGCACCTATCTGCGGCTCCATCCCCGGGGGCTGCCATGAGCTCCCATAACTGGAATCCACCAACCTCCCACTTCGTCCCTCCTATATTTCGGTCGACTTTAGTTTTTAGTTTGACCTTTAGTTTGACTTCAGCTGGCTTTAGATAGATTGCACTGGGTGCTTTCTCCTGTCGGCACTGTCGCAGTGTGCCACTTGCCTCTGTATGCATGTATGTATGTGTGCATTTCCGGTTTCGATTCCCTCCATCTTCCGTCTGCGTCCTTTTTTGTCACCACCATCATCACCGTTACCAGCAGCAGCAGCAGCACATGCACCCACCACCACCACCACCAGCAGCACCGTTACCTCCAGTGCTTGTGTCTGCTGCTACTGCCGGTGTTATTCTTTGCTGCGGGTGCTGCGGCTGGTGTTGTTATCGCTGCAAATGTTGCCGCCGTCGATACCGCCGTCAGGCGACGCACCCCCGCTACGGAACCGCCCCGCCTCGGCGACATCACTATCACCGCCACCACCATCATCGTCATCAGCAGCAGCAGCAGCAGCAGCAGCAGCACCTTCACCCTGGCAGCACCGCCGCCACAGCCGTACTGCGCACTGCGCCCTCCCTGGCCCCGCCTCAAGCATCACATCATCCGCACTCCGCCGGCCCCCGTCGTCCGCGACTCATCACCGCCGTCACGGCGCCGCCGCCGCCGCCGCCGCTGCAGCCCTGCCGCCAGGCTCTGAGCCAAACCCCGTCGTACCACCACACCACCACTGCACCGCCGCCGCCGCTGTAACCATCTCGCAGGTGGCGCTTGGGTCGCCGCCGCCGCCGCTGTTGCTGCTACTGCTGCTGCCGGCCCCCCACTACCCCCCGCTCCCCGGGGACCCACAGCGACCCTGCGCCACCGCTGGCCGTCCATCACCTGCTCCCAAGATCTGGGAGGCGGAGGCGGCAGCGGAGGTGTGCCTGGCGTCGCCGCGGCCGCATCTGCGGGCGGCACCGGTGCTGGCGGCGGAGACTCGTTCGTACTCCGTCGTGCCGACACGGCGGGGTTTCCCGGAGGCGGAGGCGATGTGTTTTGGGACGCACCTGAAGTGTTTGGGACCGGAAGCGGCGGCTCGGGTGAGGGGGGAAGGAGAGGGGAGGAGATGAGAGGGCAGGGCAGGGCAGGGGGGTGGGAGTGGGAGTGGAAGGAACCCTCGCCTCCATTCCTTCCCTACACCTCTCATTTTGCGCTTCCTCCGGCCCCTCCAGGTCCTCCTACCTCCTCCTCTTCCGCCCCTGTTGTTGTTGATGATGGCGGTGGTGGTGGTGCTGATGATGATGTGTTTGCGAGTGCTGGATCTGACATGAAGTGAAGCGACACACATTCTCTCCGCTGTCGTGCTGAGTGAGGGTTTCGGCGGTCGCTGACCGCTGCCGCTCTCATTGCCGTCGTCGTTGACCACCCCACCGGATTACGTACAACGTACAACGGACAGAGGGAAATACATTGATTGGAGTGTGCCGTACTGCACTGTACTGCACTGCAGGTGTCAGCAGCGGCGCCGTCAGTCCACGTCAGCTGCTGCTACAGCCGTCGACTGTACGGCGGCTCTCGGCCGACTGCGGCGGTGGCGGCAGCGGGGCCGCGGGTGCTGCTGCAGCTTCGGCTGTAGCAGTCAATGCTGTGGCCACTGAGACACACCAAGTGGCTGTAGCAGTCGACAAGCTGGCGGTGGCTGTAGCGGTGCTGGATGGCAAGATGGAAAAATTGCTGGCGCTTCAAGGGCAACAGCAGCAGCAGCTCCGAAACCTACAGGAACAGCTTGTACTGCAGCAGCAGCAAAATCGTGGGCAAGACTCCACACCTGCCTACTTGCTAGATCACCCAGGAGCGACGTCAGCGGCCGGTGTACGACACCGCGGCAGTGACGGCGGCGGCCGCCGCGGCGGTGACATCGATGTGAAGTGGACGTTGCGGGTGACGCTTGCCGTACTGCTGGCGACGCTTCTGGTGGTGGTGGGTTACTGGGTGATCCATCCGTACAGCAGTTTTCGGCCGCACGGCAGCAACAGTGGTGGCGGCGTTGATGGCGGCGGCGGCGTCGGTGGCGGCAGTACGGCGCCGCAGCCTTTGCCGCTGGTGTCGGTGCTTCGCGTCAACGGCGCCGCGAGCTCCCTGGGGCGCCGCGGCGGCGGCGGTGGGGTGGAGGAGGAGGGTGGCTTTTCCAGCCGCGGGGCGGGTGGACGAGCGCGGCGTGAGCTGCAACTTTACGAAGGCGGTAACGCCCTCGGCGGCGGCGGCGGGGCAGAGAAGGAGAATGTGGGGCGCAGCTTGGAGCTTCGTGGTGATGGTAGTGGTGCAGGGTACGGCACTCGTGGCTGGCGGCGGCACCAGCGGCGGCGGAGTCAGCTGTAGGAACCGCGGACTGTTGCGGAAAGTTGAGGACCAGGGTAACTTACTTTCGTTTTGTCTGCTCCCTCGCCGCCTCCGCCGCTTCTGTTACCCGGGGGGGGGATTGGGGGGACACGAACCACGAGCGAGTGAAGAGCGAAGGGGGGTAAGGGGGGGCCTCTTTTTCCTGGAGGGAGGTTGGCGTGTGGCTCTCAGTCGAGAGAGGGCAGCAACCCCAGGAATGGATTCTCTCCTCCCCCCTTTCCCTCCCCTCCGCGGGGCGGGCGGGGTGGGGTGGGGTGGGGCCCTACCTCACGAGAGGGTCATGCGGCGTTGCACCGCCTTCCATTTTCGCCCGTTTGTGTGCATGTATGTATATATGTATGTATGTATGTGTGCCTCAGAAGGCAACAGCGCTATTATGAAGCGTTACATAAGGAAATGGTGAAGCGCACATGAAAATGCGAAGATTTCTGCGTGAGTGTGTTTTCATGATGCATAGATGTATGACATGTGTGTGTATGTATGTATGTATGTATGTATGTATGTATGTATGTATGTATGTATGTATGTATGTATGTGCAAGGACGCCATTCTAGCTGTGCATGCCTGACTAGTCGTTCTTGTACACGTAAGTATGTATATATATGCATGCATGTATTTATTTATGTGTGTACGTATGTATGTGACGGCGGCGCCAAACGCCTCAACCGCCTCCAAGCACACGTACGCGCGCAATGCATCTTTTTCGTGATAGTGATTTATGAACGACTAAAATTGGTTTTCCCGTTACGCCCTTTCTGGTCGTACGACGGCATGTCGAGCTATTCGAACCCTAAACGTGTTTTTTTAGGGTTTGACTCAGCAGCATTGTTATTACAACCCAATCAATGCTGCTGCGGATGGCGTTGATGTTATGGTGGGTGAGATGTGGTTTCGGGGCTTTACGTACTTGCGCAAGTTCTCAACCCCTGGACTATAATTCGTAATATACATACGCAGGAGTCCGAAAGCAGCTGTCGAAAGCTCTGCTGCATTTACTGGCAGGGGAAGCAAGGAATTGTTTTGGTCTGTTGCCGTACTGTACCGTACTGCCGGGAGGCTCCAGCTGGGAAATGTGTATAACCTAAAGAGTACTACAATATGTAGCAGCGTCACACACACACACACATACGCTCACTCACAGAGGCTCGAGTAATGTAGTCATTACTTAGTTATCGTTGTTGTTACTAAAGCATTTAACAACACGGCACCCACCGGCCCCCCCGTGGGAGTGCGTATGTCCCATCCGCAGGTCCTCAAGCTGACGGATTAATTGTTTGTTGTGTATCTATCACGTTATTACTGTGTCGCGGGGTCTATGGAGGGTCTATGGAGGGAGCGAGCCCGATGTGCGGGCCTGAATTCATGTACAGAGTTTCCAAGGCTTGGCAGCGCCAGACGGATCCGCCGTCTGGCTCAACGATACACCTCCTGACTCCTGCGCCAAGCTCTCTCGCCGAGCAGGCAGGCAGGCAGGCAGAGGCAATCCCTTCCTCACCTTCCCGCCGGCCCCCTGTTCAACCCCTGCGGCGCCCTCATCCCAGTGTGATGTGATCTCACCAAGAGGGAAGTCGACACCTTCCATCTTCTACCACAGCAGTGTGTGTGTGTATATATGTGTGTTCTACCTCCCCTCTCTTTTCTGCCACACGACACACACACACGACACACACACACGCACACACAGACACACACACACGCACACACAGACACACACACAGACACACATATGAACACTTTTATACCCGTGCGTGCGCGGACATGTGGCCGCGTGAGTGTGTGTGTGTGTGTGTGCAACCGGACTGAGCTATACAACATCAATCTTGGATGTCGTGTGCTATTCATCACGTGCAACTTACTCCTATCGCTAAATATATATAAAAGAATAACTGTGTGTGTGTGTGTCTCTCACTCGAGTATATGTAGCGACACGTGAGACCGCGTGGTTGCGTGTGCTGTCACAGGTCACCACACGATGGCGATGTCACACGGCTCCCCCTCCCTAACGGCGGCTTCAACTTCCATTCACCTTCGATCACCTTCCATTCACCTTCCATCACCTACCTCCCAACACACCCCTAGCCGTCACCTACACGTCAACTACCGCTGTAGCGCCGGCCCCCTCACACCGCGTCACACCGTGTGCAGTTCCACTCGCTACGACCCAAAGCGGCCGCACCGCACAGCACAGCGGGATCCGCCACCACCGCCGCCACCACCACCGCTACATGTGGGCTGACACCGGAACGCGGCCCCCCCCCCCCCGGGGAGCAGGGGCCCTAACGACGACACCACTACCGCTACTACCGCCGCTACTACCGGGTGGCTGCTGCAATGCTGCACATCCCCTACCTGGGTCCCTGCCTCCATTCCCAGCGGGAGGGAAGGGGCCCCAGGGGACGGGCTGGCGGGTTCTAGGTGTGTGCGTGTGCGTGTGTTACAAACACACACATACACACACGTACATACACACATACCCCCAGGGGGTTTTCGTCACGCCCGTACGGCACTGCACGGCGACAACGTGCGTCGGGGCCGCGGAATCCTTCTGCCTTCCTCTTGTGGCGACAATCAATCAATCGATCAACCGAAGAGTTGGTAGATTAGAGAGAGAGCGAGAGGGTTGTCTTCCTTTTCACACCGCAGGGGGTGATAGGGTGGTATGCCAGTGGTGGTTGTGGGCCACACACACACACACACACACACACACACACACACACACACGCACCCCTCCTCCTCGCCGCTGGGCTCCAACCCCAGCACCGCCCCAACCCCCCATCGTTCAGCTCCCCCTGCCAGCTGCCTTCTGAGGGGGCGGGGGATGCATGATGACCTCGTCGTCGTCGTCGTCGTCGTCATCACCAGCAGCAGCAGCAGCAGCATGTGGCGGTCGTGGTGGGAGGAGAGGGGCGGGTGTAGCGCTCGAGATCGAATTGGTGGTTTGTAGCTATGTCTGTTATGTGTGTCAGACACGGTCCTGCGGATGTGGAGGATCGGGTGGTGGTGGTAAAACACACAACAAGACACACACACGCACACGCATGAATTTGGCGGGGGGGCAAGCCATGTGCGGAGTAAGGAAAAATAAAAATCGAAAAATTTCAAGAAACTCACACACGGGTAACATACATACATACACACATACATACATACATACATACATACATACATACATACATACATACATACATACATACATACATACATACACACACATACATTCATACATACACACATACGCCAGAGGGCGGAGGGCGGAGCATGAAGGCTGAGTCATAAATAACTGGGAAACGGAAAACTGGCAGAAGGCAGATCAATGTCGGAGCTCATCATCAAAAGTGTTGTTGTTGAGGCTTTTTTGCAGTTCGTTTGTTTCGGTCGGCAGCTGGGGATCAGGAGGAGCTCTCCAAGCTTGGCTAGGGACCACACGGGCGGCCTCGGGGGTTACAGCTGGGGTGACGGCTCAGAGACAGCAGGAAGGGGGAGACTAGAGGTGGGGCGTGGTGGGCTAGACCCACCAGTGCAATTTCACGCATGTCCCGCAGGTAATAGTTGACCACCTCCGAAACCACCGACAAGATGATTGAGGCCAACAGAATTGTCAACCACCAGATCCAGTTGACCGGAAAGGCTTGGTTGACTTCGTGCGTCATGTAGTCGGGGGGGGGGAGGGAGGGAGGGAGGGAGGGAGGGGAGGGAGGGAGGGGTAAGGGGCGGAGATAGAAGTCCCCGCACCACATGTGCGACCATACATGCCTACAGACATGGATGCCTAGCTAGCTACGTAACTGCCCTTGTATGTGCCCCGCTGCGCTATCCCCACTCCCCTCCACCCTCACCTCCCGCGCACATCACCACCCGGGGCGTCCTCTTCAACACAAGGGGAAGCACACAGGACGAAGAGAGTCAACCCCCCCTGTAGTAGCTGATACACAGTACGGCTCTACAAACACGCGCGAAGCGCGACCACCAGCATCTCGAGAGGCCTTTTCAGCGGCCAGCTACTACACCCCCACCCCACTTACCCCCACCACCACCACTCACTTATGATGCACAGCAGCAGGTGCAGCAAGGACGACGAGACAACGTAGTCCCAGCTCTTACGAGTGGCGCCCACGACGCCGTAAGTAAGGCCCACACAGCAGGTGTACGTCAGCATCATTGCCAGCCATGAACCTATTATGGCCACCAGGGCCGCCAGAGGGTCGCAACCTTCTCAGGGGGGAGTTCGCACCTAACGCCAACTGGCGGTGTCAGGGAGGTTCAGATGGTCCGTTGTCACCTTTCCCTTCCCGCCTCCCTCTCTTCCTCTCTTATCACAGACGGTTCGGCAGAGCCGGTTTCCCACCACCCGTACCACCACCCAGAGTCTCTCCAACCATCCCACAGCCACATCATCATCATCTTTACTTTACACGACCCAGACGTCCAACCCCGGGAGCCAGGGCCCCCTTCTCTCCCCACCCTCTTTTCGACAAACCACCGTCCCTCTTCAAGCTGCGCCCCGTCATCCAGACAGCCATATTACCCCTTTTCCCTCCCCCTTCTGACCACCCGTCACTCACCCAGTGCGTCGTCTCTTCTCCTGGGTGAGAACTCGCTCCGCCGCGTCCTGAAGGGGTACCGCCCCAGCTGGTGCCAGTCTACGTGGAGAGCCCCCACCAAGATGATGCTCCACTGCCCCGGGCCGGTCAGTCAGTAGGTCGGTCAGTCAGTCAGTCAGTATGTATGTATGTGTATGTACGTGTGTGGGGCTGGGTGGGCCGGAGAGAGGGATTAAAGAATGGAAGCGATGCAGAGACTTAGGCGGCCCGTCCGTCTTGGTGTGTTTGACTACAGCTGAGTGTGTGCGTGTGTGTGTGTTTATGTGTGTATGTGTGTTTCGCGACGTGACCGGGCATGGCGGGAAAGGTCATGGGACAGGGGGGCCGGGGGCCCCTCGCTAGCTAAGCGGCTTATCGCTATGGCTCTATATAATACCGGGATCAAGGATGGTTTCAGAGCACCGGAAGTAGGTGAACGTGAAGAGTGGAGGTAAGGGGTGTAAGGTGGGGCGCCCTCGACGTGCTGCCCGGCAGCTCCAGGCCCTAGGGGCCACCTGTTTAAGTCGTTTAGGTATTTTGATGGGTGCCACGGTACGGGACCTGACTCACCACGTAGTAAATGAGGTAAAAGCTGATCAAATACACAGCTAACTTCTTAAGGATTGTCCTTGTTTCACCATCCGCCTTCGAGCCCATGGTTCAGGGGCGGCCGCTGGTCCTACGATGGTCGTCGCTCCGTGCATCCACCTTGCCCAGCCCAGGCTGTTTTCAGCCGTTTGGAAAGCCTTACCTAAGATCTATATATAGTAACCACTGTCAGGAAAAAGTTAGGACTAAAGCAGTCAAAGCTCAGCCCTCTTAGATATTATAAAAGTCTGCTTATTGCTGTCGCCGCAGAGTGACAATTGGAGTTACTGTGACATAGGCATATGCATAGTTAAGTATTACAGCTAACAATCCAAACGATATGCAGTTTATAGTTTGCAAATGCTTCTTACTTTGATTGTAATGTGACCACGCGTATTTTAAGATATGACGTGTTAGTGTATTGTATGAAAATTTGTATAAAGTGCCATGTATAATATGTTATTGGTTTATAGGACAGTACAGCTTACGCCACAGCTTTACCTGTCAAAATTGTGCCTCTAACCTCCATTGAGATAGGCACGCGGATTGTAATTCAGACTCTCTTGCTTTTGAGACACGCCTTCTGCCTTACTATCCATGGTGCGACAGCTGGTTTCCTTACCTGGCCGTGGTGTATCGCTGGAGGTGTACATCCATCCGTGCAAACAACCACGTGAGACTTGTCAATTCTAACAGTCAAAGTATAGTTGACCAGGCAGCAGAGCCTAACTGCCAACTGCTATCGTCTAGGCATCCATTTTAACTTTCGACCATGGCCCTCCGCCCTGTGTGAAACGTTGACATTTTCACATCGCTCTGTCAAATGTGCTTGCGATGGAGCAGCAGTGTTCACGTCAGGCCAAAGTGATGGCGCACCTGCGCCGATGCTGCTCGTGCTGCATCCCTGGCCGTGGCTTGGAGGCTGCATGGATGACCACGTAGTAGTGGCAGTGTGCAGGTAATGTTAAACTCTGTGCTAAAATGCACCTAGCCTTAGGTTGTGTATTCGGCAGGCATGTGATTCAAGCACAAGAGCACATGGAGTCTCAGAGTCCAACAAGGACAGAAACCCCAAGCGCTGTATCTACCTCCTTACTATAGCTCCCATAAGTTATTCATCCAGCATCATTTGTTATATCTGCAGATCTGCGCTCGAATCGGGCTGCTTCTCTTCTGTGGTGCGTTACAACATGCGAGGGGCAGGTTGGTGCGGACTAATGGGCATCATGGAGCGAAATGTCGTACATGATACAACACACGTACTTACTGCGCACACATAATGCACCAAGCAAGTTGCATCTCTTTCTCCAGCGCACACGTTCATCTCAAACACCCATGGCGGTTCTCGCACTGTGTTTTGATGTATCCGCAATGTTCTGTCTCAACGTCCTCAGCCTACCTCTGTGTCTGTCTGTATGTCTATGTGTACGCATCACCACACACCACACACCTCCCCACGAAAAGGACATTCGCCCACAAACACACTCCTCCTGTTATCTCCGCACAGCTACCTGAGAACCAAAAGACGCACGCTCTGGTTGCGTGCAACGGTATATATGTCTGTCTGTTCAGGTAACTCAGGCAGCAGCCGCTCGCTGTCCAGCTCGGTTGACGCAGCAGACCTTGTTGTGCTCGCACGCCAACTACTGCTACAGCAGCAGCAGCAACAGCAGCAATGCCAGTCGCCGTTCACTGCTCGAACGACGGCGACCCTCGAAGCCGCCGGCCACCACACTCCACCTCCGGTGCAGCCGGCCCGCCCACAACAGCAGCAGCACGTGCCAGGTATCCCTCCGACCTCCCCCGCTACTGCTGCTACCGCTACTGCTGCTACCGCTACTGCTGCTACCGCTACCGCTACTGCTGCTACCGCTACTGCTGCTACCGCTACTGCTGCTACCGCTACTGCTGCTACCGCTACTGCTGCTACCGCTACTGCTGCTACCGCTACTGCTGCTACCGCTACTGCTGCTACCGCTACTGCTGCTACCGCTACCGCTGCTACCGCTACCGCTGCTACCGCTACTGCCAGCCCTCGGTTAGCCCTTGTGGGGTACAGCTACGGCGGACTCGTGGCTGCGAGAGCTCTTGGGCAGTTGCGACCCCAGATGGCGGCGATAGCGCTGCTGGCGCCGCCCCTGGGTGCGTGGCCGTCATCATATCGCCATGATGACGACGATATGATGACCGTTGGTTGGTATCACCGTTGTCATCGTTGCTGTCAATGTTGACGAGGGGGCTATCGCACAGGGCGGCGAGCACCGTCGGGGGCCCTGACCGGGGCCGAAACACAGCGCAGGGGCAGCGCCCGTCTGCTGTTGTTGTTGTTGTTGTTGTTGTTGTTGTTGTTGTTGTCGTCGTCAAGGGTTGGATCATGAGATCCTGGGGCAGTAAAGGTAAAGAGGTCCTCGTTGAGAGGACATGGCTAGCCAGCACATGGCTCCGCCCTGACATGTACCAGTGCCGTACCGCGCCGTACGGTACTGCTCCGTCGCGCGTTCCCACGCATTTCCCCCCACCTTCCCCCCACCCACGCCAACGCGCCCCAATAACACACACAACATGCACATGGCACGCGTCTTCCCCCCTTCCGGTCAGTAGCTTACAAATACTCCTGCAGTATCTGTCTATCTCTGGTATCTGCTTCAATCTTCAGCGGTTCGTTTTATTCCCCCTTTTCCCCAACAAACTCCCCCTCTCCCCCCAACCCTCCCCAACCCCCACACTAGGTCTCATCGGCCGCCTCCTCCTCGGGGCGGGCCCCTCCTGGAGTTGCCTGGCGGGACCGCGAGCCGCCGGTAGGGGCCTGCACCGCCTGCTGTGCTGCGGCAACCGAGATCAGTTTGCCAGTGTACGGCAATTGCAGGCCGCCGTACGACAGGCCGTACGAGGTGAGGATTGTGCAGCCGCTGCTGCTGTCGCCGCTGTCACTACAGCCAATGCTACCAAAGCTGCAGCTGCCGTGGTGGTGCCTGCTGCTGCTGCTGCTACTGCTGCTTCGACGCCCGCATCATCATCATCATCAGCAGCAGCCCATCAAAAACGCAGTGGTGAAGAGGGTTCCATAGAGCTGGTGATTTGGCCAGGGTGCGACCATTTCTTCTTCGATTGCGACGACCGCGAGGCCCTGGCGGCGGCTATCGCCGCGTCGGGCGTAATGGCGCCAAGGTACGGCGCCACGGCGGCGGCGGGGCCGTTACGGGGACGTGCCGCCGGTGGCGGAAATGCGCTTGTGAGTGAAGGCGGCGGAGAGACAGCAGCGGTGCAAGATGAAGGCGGCGGAGGGGGTAATACTGCTGATGATGATGATGGTGGTGGTGGCGGAGGTCGTGCTCCTTACAGGCGCGGGGCGGTGGGTGGCAGCAAGTCCCAACCGCCGTCACAGACATCATCACCCTCGCCAACCGCGCACCAGTGGTGTGACGAGCCGGGGAAGTTGCTCGGGGGGTTTGTGGTGCGGTGGCTGGCAGCTCGTGTATGACAGCACACGGCCCGGCGCCAACTCGGCCCGGCGCCAGCACCCTGCGAGCCAACTTCTTCGTACGGTTGTCTTTGCTATGCTTAGACAACCACATACATCGCCGCATGTACCTGCAGGTTTTGTGACTGAAGAGCGGTGGAAGATGAGTTGCATGTGTTTGGGGGGAATGCCCTGCTTATGAGATGGCTTGAGGGCTAAGTATGGCAGTGAACTCGGGTTTCAAGTGCGCAGCATGCGCACCGTCGTATGATCGTATGTATGTATGTATGCATGTATGTGTGCGTGTGTATACGTACACGCGTGGGTGTTTGGCATCACGAGGGCCACGAGTAGGGCCGGAGCAGGTACGGCTTACCAGGCAAGCAGGAAAGCCACGCCAAGGGAAGTAAACACCCCACGAATTGCAGTGCACCCTCCTTCTCTATGTGTGTGTTTGTGACTGGGGGGAAATGCTTGCCATTTTCGTGTTGAATTGCGGACAGCATGGCCGAGGTAAGGGTGCGCAAGGATAGTCAGGTATATGTACATTGCAAATGGCCTGGTTACGTGTCTCAAACAGCACTACTTGGACACCCATACCATTTGAAACTCAACAAGTTGAACCTAGATGGTTAATCCGAACTGCCCGAAACAGAACAATCTGAAACCCAGGTATAGTTGCATAGAAAGAAGGTCTAGGCCGCGGCTGAGTGTTTGCAACTTAAAGTTGACGAAGTCCAACCCGCATGCCGACATGCGAACCAGCGTGCATTGCCAGCAATAGGGATCTCAAATGAAGTTTTGATGTTCATCATAGTTAAGTCATTGGAAAGGTATTTTCCCTCATATTATGTTCTAGTCCTGCGAGCTGTGAAGTGAGTACCCGGCAGCCGGTCCTTTACCCCAGTGCTGCCGGCCTAACGAGAGATAAAGCTGTACGCGATTTATTTTTAATACCTCTGGGTTCTTTTGTCTCTTCTCTATGTTGTCATGCCATGACAAATGCCGTACGCCCTAGGGGACGGACCTAGCTCTGGGCTCTGGAAAGAATACCAAACTCCAAAAAATGTGTAGGAACAAAGACATCTCAATTGATGATTTAAGGAGAGCAATCGTTATAGCCATATGCGGATTACAATAATCCTTAATATTGAAAGCGCATTAGAATAAAGCGAGTCGTTTCGCGGTAGATGTCTGATAGCTGGATAAGACGATATGAAGATATATTCATCTCTCATCGAATTATGCGTAACAACTATTTTACTAGGTACTTTACTGCCATGGACTTGCCTAGCGAGTACCTGTCAGGACCGCCTGAAGTCCATTTCGCCTGCATCCAACGAGAAATGGATTGACTCGAACACCCTTGAATGCACGAAGACAAAGTGTCGACTAGATTACCTTGACTGCTTGGGTGCAAGCGGTTGGCCGGCACCCTATGGCGCACGCCAGGGAACTCCACGAACGGAGGACATGGTAAGCTTCTCTCTCATGATGCGAAACTTGCCAATTACACAGAAACTCGTGCCAAGCCTCTGGGCCGTGCTTCCAATTCCGTCGCTCTCCCGACGTTCACGCGACCTTCGCGTCGCCTGCGGCCAGGTCCTCGTCTTCAGCGACGAATTCAACAGCAAATGGAGGGATTTTCGGCCAGGAAAAGACGCCAGGTGGCAGGCCATCGATCTCATGTACGTCAACAATGATGCCGCGATGTTCCGCAGCAGTGCGGTCAAAGTTCAAGGTGGCTCAGCCGTCATCACGGCCTCCAAAACCTCCTCTAGCGGACCTTTCAGCGCGCCCTGGGGCGACCAGCTGGCCACCGCTAAGTACACCAGCGGCATGTTGCAAGGCTGGAACAAGTTCTGTTTCACCGGTACGTGCCTGCGTGCCTGCATGTGTTTTTCTCCCCCCCAGCTGCCGTATAGTTGGCTACCCCGGCTACCCTGGTCCTCTCCCTCCCTGGAGATGCTCCAAGACGTGCGGCACATCTGGCTTATGCCTTCCCCATCCAACCCTGTTCCCTCCCGTCCTGTCCTGTCCTGTCACCATCACCATCACCATCATCACCATCGTCATCGTTATCATCAGCAGCAGCATAAGCAGAAAGCAGCAGCAGAAACAGCATTATCATCGTTATCATCATCATCATCATCATCATCATCATCATCATCATCATCATCATCATCATCACCATCATCATCATCATCATCATCATCATCATCATCATCATCATCATCATCATCATCATCATCATCATCATCATCCCTTCCCATGACTCATGACTCAGGCGGCTACCTGGAGGCCAGGATAAAGCTGCCCGGGGACGACCAGCACGGAGGGCTGTGGCCGGCAGGTACGGACCGTACAATCGTACGAAATGTACGGATTGCATACTTGCATGGGCGTGCACACATTAAATACAAGACGCTTAGCGGTGCCTGCCTTCTGTAAAGTAAAGATGTCTGCAACCCCTCTAATTCCAACCCACCCCATCTCGCCACTACCGCATGGCGGTCAACACCCGCCTCCCCCTCCCCGCCTCCCCCCTCCCCGGGCCCCCCCCCTCCCCGCCTCCCCCCTCCCACCTGGTTCATCCATGACCCCTCCCCCCCCTTTGACGCACTTCGGTCAGTATTCACATTGGGAAACCTTGGAAGGGCAGGATACCTGCGGAGTACGGAAGGTGAGTCGTACGGGCCGTACGCCATAACCGGGGCACCGCCGTTTAGCATGCTTCTAGCGGTCTCGTCTCGTCCGTGCGACTACCGGAGCCTTGATGGCTTTGGTAACTTTTGTAGCTATATTAGGAAATCGGTTGTTTTTGTGTTGATTTGGTACTGACGATGAAATTCATTTTTCGCAACTTCATTTTTTCACTGACTACGACCGGTGAACTTTTCTTAATCCTGAGATCTGAGAATATATTAGTATTTGACCCTTATCGCTCAAGTAATATGGCTACTTAAGCGTGCACAGATCTGTGCGTGTGTTTGTGTGTGTGTTTGCCCACGGTCTGTCCCCGTGGTTTACCCCTCTATAAGTTCCGGACTCCCCGCCCCCCGGCGCAACCTTCCCCCCACCAGGCATTTGGCCATTCAGTTACGACATCTGCGATGACAACGCGCTGTACAAACAGAACTGGACGGACCACAACGGTCAACGGATTAACCGCTGCAACAGTACCCAGGGTACGGCCATCGGCATGTGCCGTACAATTTGCCGTACCGACGGGATATTCTTAAAACCCAGATGATTCTCACCTAGGATTTTGCCGTCGTGCCGCTTCTTACTGCCGTACACTCGGCTACCTTGGTAGCTAGCTAGCTGGTGGTCGGTGGGTTGGTTAGTTGGTGGGTTATCCACTGCGTTTATTTCTTCCGTCCTGTCGCGGGCCCCAGTCACCTATCACCCCACCACTGGCCCCGCCGTCCCGGTCCCCGCCCCCACCCCACCCCACCCCACCCCACCCCACCACACCACACCACACCACACCACACCACACCACACCCCTCAGGTCGCGGTGCCCCGGAGATTGATTTGCTGGAGGTGGGAGTGTGGGAGTCCTCCAAGCCCGAGCTGTCCACCAGTCTGCAGGTGGCCCCCGTGCTGCCCCAGGGCCTCCACTGGCTGGACAACCAGGGGGGTGTGTACTACCCCACGTATGCGGATCCCACCTTGTACAGGTGCGATTGGGGGGATAGGGCCGCGGGGCGGGCGGGGGGCGGGCATGTGAGGGTGAGGGTGGGTACGTGGTGGTGGTGGGGAAGGGGAAAAGGGGGAGAGGCGGGTAAAAAGGTGTGTGTATGTGTGTGTGTGTGTGTGTGTGTCAACTGACGGATAGGCGTGAGACTGAGTGGGGTTTGTTTTTGTCGCCTGTGTGCGGGGGAGGGACTCGGGGGAGGGAGCTGAGCGAGGACGGTACGTGGGTAGACTTACCGAAGCGTGAACGGGGTGTTTCAAGGTGTGAGAGTGAGTGTAAGAGTGAGTGTAAGAGTGAGTGTAAGAGTGAGTGTAAGAGTGAGTGTAAGAGTGAGTGTAAGAGTGAGTGTAAGAGTGAGCGCGAGCACATGTGTTTATTTACCCATTAGGCACGAGGACAACGTTCGTGCGCCCCAACGATACGGTTGACCAAACGAGGGCCATCTTTTGAAAAAAGTCCGGGGGCAGAAAAACTATGTATGCGAATTGCGCACATGCGCTGTACACAACTCCGCAAGCCCCCCCCCCCCCAAAACCTTCCCTCTCCCCCTCCCTTTTTCCTGCACACCTACTTTCCCCCCCCTCCCCCTTCCCCTCCCCTCCCCTCTCCCCCCCACACATACACACACACCACCACTGTAGCGTGCCCAATGGTTGGGCGGGTGTCAACTCGTACATGCAGAACGCCACCACCTTCCGACCCCGGCCCGGTAGCAAACTAGCGGATGCCATGTCGGCCACACACAAACTAAACGCCTCCCATTTTACGGACTTTTATGTGTACGGACTGGACTGGGCGCCGCGGAAGTACATACGGTACGTGTGTATGTACGGCACATGCGTGTATACGGCAACGTGTGTTTGTGTGTGGAGGTTTGGCATCAGTGCGGGTAGGCAGTGTGCGTGTAGGTGTGTTGGTGTGGTGTGTAGGTTTGAAAACAGTGCATGTACGGCAGTGTTGTGTCTGGCGAAGAGTGATCCGTACAAGTCGATGCATGTAACTACATACATATATCATACATACAAACAAACAAACATACAATACATTCATGCACCCCCCTCATTCCTCCATGATATTGCAGGTGGTACATCAACGACATCCTGATATATGGTGAGCTACTCTTCATAACCGTTGTCGTTCAAAGTGTCGTACGATAAATTGATGAGCGCACACACATGAGGTGTCACACAATAAAAAATTATATTACGAAGCGAATGGCCTGACACCTGTACAGAAAACTGACAGATGTACAGACTTACAAACTTACAGACGTACAGGCTCATAGCTACACCCGTAGCTTACAGACCTCCATCCCGGTTCTCCGCCCGCTCACCAATCCTTAAACCCCCTGCAACCCCCCTGCACATGTCCCCCCCCCGTTTCGCCCCTTTCTCCGTTCCGGTCCCCCCCCGGCTTCCCCCCCCCTCAGAGCTGAATGCCCTGGCGCTCAAAGGGGGCACCAACTCCGCCAACGAGAGTGTCGGCGACCGCCTCATCCCCGTGGAGCCGCAGTACATCAACATCAACGTCGCCATGAGCGACTCCTTCGCACCCATACACCCGGACCTACAGCTGCCGGCGTCAATGATGGTGGGTGCAACGTGCAACATTTTACCGGTCCCCCGGTGGGGGGTTCTCGCAGGGAGGTGTGTTTGTGTGTATGGGGGCTTAAATCTTTTTCCTCTCCCTCCCCCCCCCCCCGCCCCCCCTCTCGCTCACTCGAAAGCCCGTCTGTTGTCTTTTGTCGTTAACACCGCGCCGCCGCCGCACGGCCCGCTGTACACAAGAAAACAATATCGTTGCCACATGTTCACCCGCCTTTTTTCCACGCCTGCCGTACATGCCTGTCGTACAGATTGACTATGTACGGGTGTACCAGGCGCGAGATGAGATCAATGTGGGTTGCGACACGCCCGAATTCCCCTCCCAGGTGCGTGTGTATATATGTATGTATGTATGTATATGTGTATTGGGGTAAGGGAGGGGAGAATGAGGGGGGAAGTTGCGTGCGCGTACGGTACATTTCAAAGTTATGAAACTTCGTCACAAAGGGCTATATGGCGTTATAACTTCCTTACAAAGGGCTTCTTCCTCTTCTTTTCTTCCTCTTGATCTTCTTCGTCTTCACGTGTTTTTTAATTTGTTAAAATACCACCCCAGTATTTGAGTTGTGTGCTTTCTGTGACCTAAAGTCCACGGCAGGTTGCACCGCGTCCTGGGCGCCTGACCCGACAGAACGCACTTTTGTTTCGTGAACAACAATTGGGATGTCAAAAAAATTTCATGCCGTACATTATCTTTTCAACATTGCACAGGCGTATATCGACTCGCATTTGAGCGACTACAAGATCGATCTGGCCGGCTTTGACGACTTTGTTGGCAACAGCAGCGTCATGGGCCCCACTATGGAGCCACCTCCGGTACGGATATGTACGAGTTGCCGTACATCATGTATTTTTACGATGTGCGTTAGGCAGAGCTGTACGACGTGGATTTGTTAGCAAGCATGAAACACGTGGGTGCCATTGCACACACATACACACATACACGCACACGCGAGAACACACCAACACCCAACCTACCCGCGTATTGCGCATAATGTAATTAAAATACTGTTAAAGCTCACAGTTCGTAAACTTACAAAAGCCTTAGAAACCTTCAACACATTGTCGTACACTCGTACACATCACAGCCGCATAGCGAAACTACACCCAACACACATCCACTTGTACGATGATGTGTCGAACTTAATTATTACAACTAATTATTCATATAAGCTCTAAATACTTGTTAGTTCATAAATTGTTAGTTAGTTGATTGCCCGCAACGTCTCCCCGCCTCGGCCCCATCCGCAGCCAGACTACACGGCCGTCATTGTCGCGGTGTGCTGCTCGGTGGGCGGCGCACTGCTGCTGGCGGGCGGAGTGGGCTGGTGGATTTGGCGGCGGCGGAAGAGGGCACAGGCAAAGGCTCTGCTGGAAGCGACCGACCCGGCAGCGGCAGCCGCGGCGGCGGCGGCGGCGGCGGAGAAGCGGCGGCGGGAGGAGGAGGAGAAGCGGCTACGAGACGAGGCGACGCCGGGGTGGCGGCGCTGGTGGGTACGATTGGCGGTGACGATCTGGCGGGGCTCCCCCGGCGTCAATGCACGACATGCGCTGGCGCCGCCCATGTGGAACGTGCAGGTGGCGCCCTCGCCAGAGGCAGCGGCGGCGGCGGCGATGGCGACACCAGTGGCGTCAGCGTCAGTGGTCGTATTTCAGTCCTTGCCGCCGCCGTCGCCGCAGCGAGTGTCGGTGCCGTACCCGTCCGCAGCGTCAGCGGCGCCGCAGCGGCTGTCGACACCCACCATGACTCCGCAATCGCCACAGCGGCCGTCGGCATCGTATCCATCGGCGTCGGCGCAGCCACCGGTGTCGTACTCGTCCGTTCCGGCCTCACCACAGCGGCGTCTATCGTCGTCGTCGTACCCTTCCGTAACGGTGGCTCCGCTGCCACGTATGTCGGCGTCCTCTGTGCCGCCGCCATCGCCGCCGCGACCGACGGCGTCGTACTCAACGGCTGCAACAGCGGCGCCAACAGCCCCTTACTTCTCCGTGCCGTCGTCACCCCGGCAGCCATCCGTGTCGTACTCGTCCGCGCCGGTGGCACTGCCGCAGCGGCCGTCAACTTCGTCGTTGCCGCCACCATCGCCACCCCGTACGGCGGCGTCGTACTCGTCTGCGACGGCACCTCCCCTTGCGTTGTACCCCCCTGTACCGCCATCACCGCGGGGGCCGGCAGCGTGGTACACGTCTACGGCGGCGCCGCCGTCGTCGCCGCCGCGGCGGTCGCAATAGTCGTATCATCAGCGACGTACGGCAAGGGAGGAAGTCCGTGCCGTTGCCGTCGGCGTCACTATCGTGGGCTGCAAATGCTGTTGACGTGGGCAGCGGCGGCAGTGACGTCAGCGACATGCGAAGAGAGGCCACGTGTGACGGTACGACCTACAAGGCGTTTCCCTCGGACTGTTGCAGGATTGCCGTACGGTCTCGTACTGCGTGCTGTTTGCTTTGTGTGTGCAGTTTTGTCCATCGTCACGAGGTGGCGATGTTAGATGGTGGAATGGCTGACCTGATATGCAATCACAGCAGTATTGTGAATCGTGCAGTAATCTCAAAAGTTTAGGATTAACGAACGTACGAGCGTACGGATGTACGAACGAACCAACGAGCATTGTCGGCTTTGTGCTGGCGCAATCGCTGGAGATGAAGACTGATAACGTCGGTTTATCTGTGGCGGGAAATGTTTGTATCAGTTTTTGTTGGTTGCTGTGTTATCTACTTAATGTCTAAAATCACGATGATTAATGTGTTGTTGTTGGGGTGTTACACTGTGGGCGGCTCGCCCGAGAAAGGACGGCGGGCACCGTCGGGGGCCCTGACCGGGGGCCGAAACACAGCACAGGGACGGGCGCGCGGCTCTACGTCCGTCTGTTGTACTGGTATACATCGTTTTGGATCCATCACGCGGTGACTCAAGCCACGTAAACCCGCATATGTCCATATACGTACATATATACATATATACATACGTACGCACGTAGCTGAGTGTGTATGTGTGTGTAGGCGGCATGTCGATGTAGCTGCTGTCGCTGCAGCTTTGACCGACACGTATATACATGCATATATGCATATATAAATTTTCCTGCAGCGTTAGAGGCCTTTAATTCATATTGGCGAACGATGCTTCCCGAGCTACCGGGATACTTGTAGGTTCAACATGTACATGTAACATGTACATTTACAGAAATGTACTAAAAGGAATTCACGAAGTGCGCAGCATATAAGATGAGTAGCCTATATAGGCCCATGTCCATAGTCCAGGGCAACGGAGGGGGTTACCCTGGGGCCGTGTTACCCCTCCTGCTGGGTAGGAACTTACAAGGGGGTTACCCACGGGCTACCGGGCCCAGTGGAGGTGTCTTCACGACAGCAGGGCGCACGACGAACTTCTCCATGACATATGCACGTGGGACCCCAAGCGAAACCGAAAACTCAACTATGAGGTTTTTGCCACTTTTAAAATGATATTCTCAACTTATTGCAGAATATTTAGGTAAAGACGTGTGCTTTTCACTCTCGTAGCAACAGTAGTACGTGTATGTGTGTAAGGGAGAGGGGGAGCGGAGAGCCCAGCGCACTCACGCTGCTGGGCTCTTAGTCAGCTGACTCATTTCTGCCTCATTGCCTGAACCAAGTCAATATCAACTGCCTATCATAATTGCCTTCTATGAAACAGGTACAGGTATTCTCTCAGCAGCTGGTCGATGTTCCAATGTTCGAAATCTACTCGCTGCTCCCGAATTTCTCAACTTCGAGGGTTCAAATGGAAGGAATTGTAGTGGCTGTCCGCTGAAAAAGCCTCTCGAGATGCTGGTGGTCGCGTTACGCGCGTATTTGTAGAGCCGTACTGTGTACCAGCTACTACAGGAATACTCATGTGGCACATCACTACTACAACCTCCGCTCACGTAGCATGTGGTCCTTCAGCACCGGGGCAGAGTCTAAACACCGTGCAACCCTAAGTGAAGGCACCGGTATGCCGTACAGCACATGTACAGCTATACCGCATCGTCATGTCAATTCAACCTTATTGGCAACTTATGGCAATAGCAGTTATGTGGCCATGCCCGGTGGTTACCCATGATGGTTAGGGGAACCGAGGACGGTTGCTGGCTAACGGTCCATCCGGGTAACCTTACCGGCCCAGTAACACCGAGGTATGGTATGATCTCGGTTACTGGGCCGGTGGGGTGGCAACTGGGCCGGAACCAGCCTGGTGTATGCCAGCTGCAGCGGCCTGCTGCAGCAAGCCTGAAAAATTAATGCGTAAGAAGGGTTCAGCTCCCTTGGCATCTCCCATTTCAAGGCTAACAGCTGAGATCCAATTAGATAGGAATAGGACAAGAAGTACGCATGTAGGGTTGTCGTACCATGTCGTACCCGGACGCATCCGGAGCTTAATACTTGGACATCTGATTCAGATTCATAAATATATGCATCTTACGAACTTGTCCAATGTGTTACACATGTGCGAGAAGGCAACATACATACAGGTCGACAGCCGTGCAGCAAGCGCTACAGATGGCCTCACGCAGTCAGCACCACCTGTTTATAGTTTAAAGGCTTCGCCCAGTTTGTTAATTCGGTTGTTCGGGTAATTTGGTTACGGATGCTTTCTAGAAGGCACACACTATTCCAGCACCTTCAGAAAGAAACTGGCCGTTCCATTTTTTAACGTCGCTAAGACCAAAACCACAACCAAAACCATAATGATCATAACCATCACAATTACAACCACCATAATGATAATAGTATAAACACCAACTAATAACTATTATCCATTACTACTGCCATGATAATGGCCATGGTACCACCATCACCATCACCATCACCATCACCATCACCATCACCATCACCATCACCATCACCATCACCATCACCATCACCATCACCATCACCATCACCATCACCATCACCATCACCATCACCATCACCATCACCATCACCATCA